TATTGGGACTTGCTTCACCTCATCCATTCTGGCCAAAAATAGACCAAAATCAACGTCTACTTAACCTAAGGGGTTATTGATTTGTACCTACAATCAAGTCAGAAACGGGGCTTAACTAGTGCTGATGGAGCTACTTCGAGAAATACAATACCCAAATAAGAAAAAAGGATTTCCGAGTCCATGACCAGCGTTTCCAGGGCTGAATCTGACGTAAGATTTGGTCCTGGTTGTTTTTTGCGGGTCGCACTCTAGCGGAAATATATACACTCATATACAAAGGCCCAATATTTGAAATATATCCAAGTTTTATGTGGGTCGCTTCGATATTCAGGAAGTCATTATTCACTAGGTTCATGATTGCTTTATATGGATAATATGTATTTTGATAATTAGGATAGATTGCTAGAAACACCGCGCAAAGCCGCTTGTATAGGATATCACATAATGGAAGCATTATAGAAGGATCCGCCAGATAAACCATCATCGTACTCATCATGAAAATTCGGTGCGTATGGTTTAGCGATTCACCGGCTGAGCACCTAAGACCCATCCGATACCACTGACTAAACCGCCTGTCACCATGTTACTGACCACATCTCGCTTACGCACCCTCTCTTCAGCGGAGTCCTCGCTGGACCCGCGAACGTGAGATGATGACGTCGGTTGTTGGTCGGTGGTAGCGGCGCTGCCGCTGAGCGGGAATGCGTTCTTGTGGAGGGCTAGCGCGGCGCCTCGGGCAACTTCGAAGAGACCCATGGGGGCTTCTTCGGCGTTGAGACGGTCGTGATGGGCCCGAGCACGTCGAGCGTGTTGTTTCTTTGTTTCGTATGCGTCCTGTTCGCTATCTGTTGGTCCAAAGCCACCAGGGACTGATGAGAGGTTGTCCCCCTTGGTGTCCCATACTTCTTCCTCTTCGGCTTCGCGCGTGCGAAGGCCGTTCATCTCCTCGTCGCACCGTCGCCAGGCGCCGAGGATCTCAGGGAGTGGGTCGGGAGAGGGGACGAGGATCAGGGCAAGAGAAAGAAGTTCCATTCGTTGGGAAAGTTGGGTTATTTGGGCTTGGAGGTTGGCAGATGAGGATAACGCAGGATCGCGGTACCGGCCAGCATTGTAGACAGCACGCCAGGAAATGTCATCCCTTACGGCTGGGTTTGTAAGGGGTGAGGAAGTGGATAGGAGAGATGGAGGAGTGAGACGCGTGAGGATGTAAGAATATGCGGTACCGAAATCATTGGACGAGAGAGCCGATGAAATTGCAAGTGACATAATACGTCGCTCAGCTGTGACGACGGCATCCTCCTCGGAAGTAGACGGAAGATCTAGGTCGTCGCTATCGGAGAGGCGAGTGGAAAAACCAGCCGCAACTAGATTTCTTCCGATCGCAAGAAGATCATCGACCTTCGTATAGGCCTTTGAATTTTGATCAAGCACCTTCTCGATCAAGGAAATAGGATCGGGGTGCACACGGATACTGACAGGTTGAAAGGGAACACCATGTTGCAGAGTTAGGGAGTAGAAAGATAGAGCATGTGTTGCTGATATGAGGGCACGAATCTCCTTGAAGGAGACGGATTCTGGAAAGTGTGGCTGGAAGGCTTGCAAGCTGCGGATAAAAGTTAGCTCCTTGGTCGATCTGACGCTCATTTGGATCAAGTCTTACATGTCGTACGCTCGCCTCATGCCTCCCCTAGTTCTGTTTCCATTGCTAGCGTTGTCGTAAGTGGTGAATATAGCCTCTTTCACGGCATCTTCGACTTGGGCAGAGCTAAGGGCAGTTTTGGAATTTATATAGATATCAACGGCCAAGTTGTATTCTACACGGATAATTAGTCCCCACATTATGAAAGATGGGATAGTATTTGCTTACCTTTGAACTCTAGCAATGCCTTCAAGATCTCTGCCTCTACCACATCTCGTGAGACCCTCCAAAAGAGGCCATGACAGGGTAAATTGCTTTCATTTCCTTCTATTTTGTCTGATCCCCAATGCTGCAGCCAGAGAATCTGCTGGCGAACGTCCCGCCAGTCATGGCTAAGTTTTGTTTGTCTTACAATAGATGAGACAATGTTCCGCAATTCTTGTAATTGCGTATCTTGGTTACTATGAAGGCAGATATTGGCAGCTGTCCTGCATGTAATCGGATGTCCGAGTTCGGCCAACGTCTTGATGGAGAGAAGAATAGCGCTGAGGAACGATATAGAGGAGGCGGAAGGGTATGTTAGTGGATTTGATGCCACCAATAAAGCGTTCTGCAGAAGGGACACCCTCGATGACGAAGAGATTTGAGATGCATCAAACGTCACCGAGGGAAATACCGAGCTGTTAGGTGAGATAAATAAGTGATCCTCAAGGCTCAACAGCTCGGCAACCCGAGTCAGAACTTTGACTGAGCCTTCCAGACAAGACTTGCTTGTATCGGAAGTTGTGTAGATAACAGCAAGCCCTGATTGACCATATCGAAGATTCAGGTCCTTCGACACATCGCGGTCATATTTTTGGTCTTCTTCCTCAAAGCCTCCAAGGTCCGCATCCTCTGGACCATTCCAATTAAGGAATGCATTCACAGTGCTCTCATGATCTACTAGACTTCGCGCCAGCAGCCATTCGTTCACGTATTGCCATCCGGAGGTATTCTTATCATGCTGTTGGGTGCTAACCTGAGGAAGGGAGATGAAATTGGCCTCCGCAGCCTGATTGAGTCTACGCCTTTTCGATCGGTTACTCCCGTACATCCACGGGCCAAGTAGTCCGCGTAAGTTGTTCACTAGATCCATGCTGTTCTTCTGAGCGCCCGTCATTGAGAGAAGTACATTGATCGCGGTGTGGCTGTCCATCGTCTCTAGAACATCCAGAGAGAATGTTTCATCCTGACTGGGATAGAATTCGTAGTTAAGTCGGAGCAGCGGTAGTAAGCTAGAGATTAACCATGTCCGCACGGTCGGTAAGCGCTGGTAGAACGGTAAAAGAAGTTCAAGTATAAGGGGTTGAAGGGCAGTTTCCAGATCTATACGGTATGCCCGATGTATGAGGAATTGAGTTAAAAGGTCGGCTGGATCTTGACTGTCTTCGTCGTCGTGGTACTTTAGTGGGAGTAAACGAAGCGTCCGTACACGTTTCTTGGCAGCAGCCTCTGAGAAATTGTCGACTGGGGAAACATCGATATCGTCACCGTCTGGTTGCGATGGATGGCCATCTAAAAGCTCTTGAAGGACTGGCGTGTAAGACTGGGGCGCTGTGCTTTCCGGCAGAAAGGTCAAGATGATGCGAAGTATCCGGTCAAGAGGAAGGTAGGCTGGAAACTGGGCGTGTAGCTGTGGTAAGCGGGAGACATTCCCAGTAACACAAAGATGGGTGGCTAGAAGAATCGCATGAGCACCGGATCGTCGACCAGAAATCGCCATGGCGTCAATCAGCGGCTCCTTCGCCGGGGAATGAGGGAAAAATAAAGAGGGTGATGTGGTCGGGAGCAATACTAAAGACGTCAAACGCTGACGCTCGGACCAACTTGGGCGGAAAGCGGCGAATCGACCGGAAGAACCTCATCGCATCCTGACCTCCGCTCCTACACGCTGTGCCCACTCGTTTCCCCTCCTCTCATCTACCACCAAACACACAATGGCTTCGGGTTTTGGTCTCAATGGCGGTATGTGCTCATTGTCTAGCGTCTGAGGGGGGATTGCTGTCACAATTGATTACGATTTCGTGGTGCTCGGTCGCGATACGTTTCTTCGATGGACGTCCCCGGCTAATACTTGCGTTCTCCCACAGGTCCCTCCCGCTGCTACAACTTCTGGCAGGAAGTCCTCGGCTGCTACGTTGTCAACGCCGGCGACGGTGAAACCGGCAAGAAGAAGTGTATGCCCGCTTTGGAGGATTACTACGAGTGCCTGCACCACAGAAAAGAGGTAGGGTCTCGCCCTTGCACAATGGCTTCTCGCCCGTCAATCCAAGACGCAGTCGACTGTCCTGGTTGTTTTATATGTGGTTCTGCTATATTCTGACACCATGGACCTCCAGGCTTTGCGAACAATGAAGATGCAGGCCGCCTACCGGAAGGCCGAAGCCGCACACCCCCGGGAGAACGCGCCCAAGGCCGAGCAGATTCGCAGTTTGGGGCTGCTAGGGAAGGAAGAAGAGGCATCGGCTTTTCTAACGAAGGCTTAAGGGGATTTTGTGCACACTAGGGGTGCGGTTCTGTTTTCGTTGTTTTTACTACCACCACCAATGTCGTGTTGTTATTTCCCACTTGGAGTCCCTCAGTGTATAGAAATGGACAAGTCTATTTGATGCGCGCCGTTTCGACGATCATCGCAGTGTGTGATGTCTGCTAGGAATGCTGCGAATCACCGCAACCCCGTGTTCCGGGACGACACGAAGATCGCTTTGACTGCTACTGTTTATTTCACTATGTCGACTCGATTTCCATAGATAAAAAAGTAGCAAGAAAGACCTACGTCAGTTATCGTATGGTAGTTTGTGGTGGAATATTACGACGGGAAGGGCTGTGTGAAGATGTCAAGTCAAGTGCTGTGCTATGGAAAGTAAATACTCCGCAGATGGATTATATATAAACTAAATTAGGTGCCGTTTGATTGGAGAATCGAGCAACGTGTCTCGGTCATCGCCTGAGGCAGACATTGGAGGGTCACCACCGCGTGGGAAGGCTTGCGCATGGGACAAGGAATTGTATTAGGGCCGTCCCTCGGTCAACGTGTGTGAGTGGACAAAGAATCCCCTTCCTTTACGACGAGACTATCTGGCATTTCTTGGCATGTTTTGGGGGAAATCGACACTTGAAGCTTATGGATTACTACTCATGGGGAACCAAGGAAGGTCCTGTCCGTCGCGATAGATCTCCGGGATCAACTTACTGGTTCTGGTGGTAGAATTAAGGATATAGTGGTACCTGCAGCTAAAACCCACGGATCACTTCGGCCGCGAGTCTCATCATGATGGACATTGGCAGCAATTTCGCGGCCGTCGATCGTGAGGTTGGCGCAGGGAGGGTCACGTGACTATAACGAAAACCTTTACGGGAGTGGGGCGGCTAAGCCGGGTTGAGCCTAGTGCAGGGCCCAAGCATGGGTAGGCGCGCCCAGGCAAAGATGCCCCCAATGATATAAACTGGCTGCGTGACCTCGAGGGGGGAAAACGAAAGCACGACGGGACGACTTGTTGATACTTACTTACTTACCTGGGAGCTTGACTGGCCCATACTTTAATATCGGCTCTTTCACCACCGACGACGTGCCCGTCATCTTCCCTCTCCACTTTTGGGATTAATATTTATTATTATTATTTTTTCCCCCCGGTGTGGTTTTATCTTTATTTTTTTTTATTTGTATTTTTTCTGCTGTCTTGATGCTCAAAAGTTTCTTTATGGTCTTAATACCTTCGGGCCTCACAGATGATCGACTTAATAGTGTGAAACTCCCTTCATCTAGTTTCTGTTATTTTTATTTTTCGTCAGGTTTACCTTAATTCTCCACTCTGTCGGATCGATCGTCCTACATCGACTTATTTTGTGTTTTATTCAAGTTCCCTCTCTGTCGTCCCTTTTAGTTCCATCCGTCAAATGGCTGTGGCGTGGGTGTAACGGTTCGGTATACTTTACATTCCTTACCTACCTGACTAAAACCATCTGCATACTGGAAGGATTCCCCCATTATAATATCTGAGGCGTCACCGGAACTCTTTGGGCTTGGCAACTTCTTTTTTTTTTATTCTTTTTTTTATTCTTTCAATTTTTATTCACTCACGATCGATCGTTGTATTTAATACACCTCAATCATCCTTTCATCCCCACCACCCCCTCTGTGAAGAGGTGATTGCCCGCCATGACCTCCAGGTAAGTTTTAACTGCCCAGCCCTGTCATATTTAGTTTCGCACGCTAACCATCTCGGGACAGGTTGGATCGCTTGGTCACGTGAGTATCACCATACTTGACCGTTCTCATGCTGACAAGGTCGATGCTAACCACTCTCACAGCTTGCTTGAGACGGGCAGCACGCCTCTCATCCGGAACACTGCCGCCCAACAACTGGCAGATGTCCAGAAACAACATCCAGATGAGCTATTCAACTTACTGGGGCGTATCCTCCCATATCTCAAGTCGAAATCATGGGATACCAGAACAGCTGCCGCCAGGGCGATCGGGCTCATTGTAACAAATGCCGACATCTTTGACCCCAATGAAGAGGATGGCCTAGGGATCAAAAAGACCGACGAGGATGACGACCTAGCGGTAGAAATTAAATCTGAAGAGGCCCAACTATCACCGTCGGATGAACTCCTTCAGTTAGAACGTCTGGATCTAACCTCGATTTTAAAGTACGGAAAAAGGCTACTAGGGAGTGCTGGTAAAGAATATGAATACTCTTTGGCCGCCATGGATCCCATATCTCGGCTGCAGCATCAGAAGAAAACATTGAGCTCCCGATTGGGCCTTGCAGGGGAGTATATCGAGGAAGACCTGATCGATGACACTGACTTAGGCTTGAAGACCCCGGCTATCAAGGAGGATCCATCTTCTCACACGGCTGCTTCCCGAGAGAACAGCCACCAACTTTCTGCTTCTGTGACCACACCAAGTGAGCCTGCTAACGGAGAGGAGTCCGGACTGAGCAAGCGGCAACTGAATCAGCTGAAACGAAAAAATAAACAGAGTGCGAAGATGGGTGCCAATAAAGTGCGCGTCGTCGACCTCTCTGCGCGGAAGACGTCCGACGTCACGACACCGTCAGTGACGACTCCGCACCCTATTAAAGCAGAGAATGGAGAAGAGCGGAACGGCGACTCGAAATCAGACTACTTCTCTCTTGAACGACCTGCTGGCGATGATGACTCGAAGATCGTCTCCGAATTTAAAGGAGAGGCTGCCCCAGAAAAACCTCTAATACAGCCTGAGACCTCCGACGAAGGCCCTAGCATCGCATGGCCCTATGAACCAATGTGTGATTTTCTCATGGTCGATCTGTTTGATCCAAATTGGGAAGTCCGACATGGAGCTGCGATGGCCCTGCGAGAGGTCATTCGCGTTCAAGGTGCCGGTGCTGGGCGCTTGCGAGGGAAGAGCAGATCTGAAAACGACACCTTGAATCGCAAATGGCTGGATGATCTTGCATGTCGCCTTCTTTGCGTGCTCATGCTTGACCGTTTCGGCGACTACATCTCTGACAACGTTGTCGCCCCCATTCGAGAGACTGTAGGTCAAACATTAGGTGCTCTCTTGTCTCAGCTCCCATCCCGTTCCGTCATCGCCGTCTATAGATGCCTATACCGGATCATCATGCAAATTGACTTAGGACTAGACCGCCCTATTTGGGAAGTTTGCCATGGTGGTATGATCGGTCTCAGGTATTTAGTGGCAGTCCGCAAAGACTTGCTTGTCAAGGATGCAAAGCTCATGGACGGGGTCCTGGAGGCAGTCATGAAGGGCCTGGGTGATTACGATGACGATGTTCGTGCAGTGAGTGCAGCAACACTTGTTCCTATTGCAGAGGAATTCGTGACTTCTCGGCAGAGCACGCTCGGCACTTTGATGACCATCGTTTGGGAATGCCTTTCCAATCTCCAAGATGATCTCAGCGCCAGTACTGGCTCGGTGATGGACCTTCTAGCGAAGCTCTGCACGTTCCGTGAAGTCCTTGATGCTATGAAAGCGAATGCAGCTGTGGACCCTGAGTCATCATTTGGCAATCTTGTTCCTCGCCTCTATCCTTTCCTGCGGCATACAATTACCAGTGTGCGCTCGGCCGTGCTCCGGGCTCTTATCACGTTTTTGCAGCTAGAAGGAGATGGCACCAACGAATGGGTCAATGGCAAAGCGCTCCGCTTGATTTTCCAGAATTTGCTGGTGGAGCGAAACGAGAGTGTTCTGAAATTGTCTCTCCAAGTCTGGTCAGAACTGCTCAAAGCGCTCGATAAGCATGGGTCCTTCAAATCAGAGGCCGAACTGTTATCTCACATCCAGCCTCTCATTACCTTGAGTATAGCTCCTTTCGGCGTTCCTCGCTATCCCGTCCCCATGAATGCCTCCCTCTTTATCAAGCCGTCCGGTGTACCGTTCCCAATGAGCGCAGCTGCACCAGCAAAGTCCTCACCCAGTGCCTTTAACAACACCTCCGATGCGACCAAGAAGAGGGGTCGCAAGGCAGAGAAGAAAGAAGTGCCCCCGCCTTCGGCTCACAATGTCGATGGCCATATGCTGCAGGGTGATATCGACTTGGTAGGTACGGACACCATGCTGCGGTCGAAGATCTATGCTGCAAAGGCTCTTGGTCAATTGCTCTCTCACTGGGATAAGAACGGGCTTCCAAGCCTCTGGCAGCCTATTATGCACGGCCTTAACCACTCCGCATCCACTTCCCAGCTGTCAACCGCTATGATTATAGAGGAATATGCTAGAATTACAGGATCTGACAGCCCATATGCTTCTGTACTGTGTGAACAGCTGCGCCCAATTATCGAAGGGGATCGTCCATCATGGTACGGCGACATAGCATGCTATCTTCATGTTGCACGTGCACAATGTCACTCATTGCTCAATGCCTTCCGGGACCACGCTCATGTTCCTGGCTCGAGGTTGCCCGTTCTAGCTGTCATTGTCCAAGGTGACGCCGAAGCTGGCCCGAGTGCCTTCTCGCTGGCGGACGCTGAAAAGGTTGTTGGACCCGATTTCGAGCGCCTAAAGAAGGGCCTGGCGCCAGCTCAGCGCATCACAGCTCTTCAGGTTCTGAACGACACAAGAGCAACTGCAGAGAGTGCAATCAACGAAGCCAGAAGCGTCCGCGAAGCAAGGGACCTGCGTATCCTCGCTGCCGCAGCGGGCGCTCTAGTTGCCATGCATGACATCCCCAAGAAACCAAGTCACATCATCAAGGGAATGATGGACAGTATCAAGAAAGAAGAGAATGCAGAACTTCAACAACGCTCTGCTACTGCAGTTGCTACTCTGGTGGAGTACTATACTACCGCGACCAAGCGGGGCCCTGTCGATAAGGTCATTGGTAATCTGGTGAAATACTGCTGTGTCGATACGTCCGAGACTCCCGAATTCCACCACAATGCAGGTCTGGAGAAATCGATTCTATCCCTCCGCAAAGAAGAAGACCGCCGTGACCATCCCGATGCAGCGAAATTTGAAAGGGAAGCAAAGGAAGCAAGAATCATGCGTCGCGGCGCCAAGGAGGCGTTGGAGCAACTGGCTGTGAAGTTCGGTTCGGCACTCTTGGAAAAAGTTCCTAACCTTGCATCTCTAGTTGAACGACCGCTTAGAGATGCCCTCACCAATGAGCTCCCAGCAGACATTCACGACCCCGACAATGAACTTGGCCAAGAAGTCGTGGATGGTTTGTCCACGCTACGTGCCCTATTACCCAAGTTCGATCCTGGTCTTCATTCGTGGGTCATTAGTCTCATGCCCCTGATTTCCAAAGCACTGCAATGTAGACTGTCTGTGATTCGGTACGCAGCTGCCAAGTGCTTCGCAACTGTCTGCAGTGTCATTACGGTGGAAGGCATGACCATGTTAGTCGAGAAAGTACTGCCTACCATTAGCAATGGTCTGGATGTGCACCACCGCCAGGGAGCCGTAGAATGCATTTACCACCTTATCCATGTGATGGAAGATGGAATTCTACCCTATGTCATCTTCCTTGTTGTCCCCGTCTTGGGTCGCATGAGCGATTCTGACAACGATGTCAGGCTGCTAGCTACAACGTCATTTGCAACCTTAGTCAAGCTTGTTCCCCTAGAAGCTGGCATCCCGGATCCTCCAGGCCTTTCCGAGGAATTGCTCAAAGGACGAGAGAGGGAAAGGAAGTTCATGTCCCAAATGTTGGATGTGCGGAAGGTGGAGGAGTTCGCCTTACCAGTAGCAATTAAAGCGGAGCTTAGACCTTACCAACAAGAGGGTGTCAACTGGCTTGCTTTCCTCAACCGCTATAATTTACATGGCATCCTTTGTGACGATATGGGTCTCGGTAAGACTCTTCAGACAATTTGCATCGTCGCTAGTGATCATCATTTGCGAGCCGAAGAGTTTGCGCGGACACAAGCGCCCGAGGTCAGAAAGCTTCCGTCCTTGATTGTATGCCCCCCGTCACTGTCTGGACACTGGCAACAAGAAATCAAGCAATACGCCCCGTTCCTTAAGTGTGTTGCGTACGTTGGACCTCCGGTAGAACGCGCACGGTTGAAGGGTTCCCTCGGCGATGCTGACATTGTTATTACCTCCTACGACATTTGCCGAAATGACAGTGATGTTATTACCCCGCTGAACTGGAACTACTGCGTCTTGGATGAGGGACATCTTATCAAGAATCCAAAGGCCAAGGTCACCCTTGCTGTCAAACGTGTTGCCAGCAATCACCGCTTGATCCTTTCTGGCACCCCCATTCAAAATAACGTGCTGGAGTTGTGGTCCCTCTTTGACTTCCTGATGCCTGGTTTCCTTGGTACTGAAAAGGTCTTCCTGGATCGTTTCGCCAAGCCAATTGCAGCGAGCCGTTTCAGCAAATCGTCCTCGAAGGAACAAGAAGCTGGTGCATTGGCAATTGAGGCCTTGCACAAACAGGTGCTCCCCTTCTTGCTCCGTCGTCTAAAGGAGGAAGTTCTTAACGATCTACCACCGAAGATTATCCAGAACTACTATTGTGATCCTAGTGAACTTCAGAAGAAACTCTTTGAGGACTTCACGAAGAAGGAGCAGAAGCAGCTGGCGAACAAGATGGGCAGTTCAGAAAAGTCCGACAAAGAGCACATCTTCCAAGCATTGCAGTATATGCGACGCCTCTGCAACTCTCCTGCGCTTGTGGTTAAAGACGGGCACAAGCAGTACGACGAGGTCCAGCAATACCTTCAGGCAAAGAATTCTTACATCCGCGATGTTTCACATGCTCCTAAGCTTAGCGCTTTGCGCGATCTCCTCCTCGACTGTGGCATCGGTGTTGACCCGCCAAGCGAAGGGGACCTGGGCACTGGTGCAAGCTATGTGAGTCCCCACCGGGCTCTAATCTTCTGTCAGATGAAGGAAATGCTCGACATCGTGCAAAGCGAAGTCCTCAAGAAACTTCTACCATCGGTTCAGTATCTCCGTCTAGACGGCAGTGTGGAAGCCACCAAGCGTCAGGACATCGTCAACCGATTCAATACAGATCCTAGTTACGATGCCTTGCTTCTGACCACTAGTGTTGGTGGACTTGGTCTGAACTTGACAGGTGCCGACACAGTCATCTTTGTTGAGCATGACTGGAACCCGCAGAAGGATATCCAGGCCATGGACCGTGCACATCGTATCGGCCAGAAGAAGGTCGTCAATGTCTACCGTTTGATCACCAGAGGTACTTTGGAGGAGAAGATTCTGAAGTAAGTTCCTCCCGATTTAAAATGTTCCAATAAACAACAACACATACTAACTTGTCTACCCCAGCCTCCAACGCTTCAAGATCGACGTGGCATCGACGGTGGTCAACCAACAAAACGCAGGCCTAAACACAATGGACACAGACCAGCTCCTAGACCTATTTAATCTCGGAGAAACGGCCGAGAATGCCGAGAAACCCAGCGACAACGCCGCCGGCAACGAAGTCGACATGGTCGACATCGACGGCGAAGTCAAAGAAAAGGGCAAGAAGGGCTGGCTCGACGACCTCGGCGAGCTCTGGGACGACCGTCAATACCAAGAAGAATACAACCTGGACTCATTCCTGCAGACGATGAAAGGTTGATTGATAAATCATGCCAAAACTTCGGTTTCCTAAACAAACCCTCTTGTGTTACAATGGACTGGAGTTCTCAGGGTCGTTCTTATGGAACTTCGCAGGGGAAAAAAAAACCCCCTCAACTGCAAAAGACATCAGCCATGCTTCTCCTTTCTTGTCTTATTCCCGTTTCATCCCTCTTCTTTTCACCTTCTGATCCTATCTTATTACTAGACGATTGACTGAACCCAGGTGGGCGTTCGTTAGTGTTGTACATCCATCGCTCAGATTCTCTCCTCCTCCCCTCCCCTGTTTTCATACGAACTGTATCCCAGGAGTTTGGTGGCGATTTTTTTTTTTTTTTTTTTTTTTTTTTTTTTTTTTTTTTTTTTTTTTTTTTTTTTTTTTTTTTTTTTTGTGGGGTTTTTTTTTTTTTTTTTTGTTTCTTTTCGAATCTCTTACTTATCTTAATGATTCATTGAATCATTGATTGAACGAATGACTCGGTGCTTACGAAGACGAAATCAAGGATAGACATGGAGGGGAATTATGTATGTTATTTTATTCCCTTCCGTGGTGTTTATTTTATTTTACTTCATTATCCTTTTTCTTTTTCCTTTTCTTTTTCCTGCTGTACTTTTACCACTGCACTCGTGTACATATTGATAAGCGGTTGTTCATAAGATTCGATCCTATCATCTTGATACATAATTTGGTCTGCCAAGGACAGATATGTTTTGTCTACTTAGACGGTATGATGATGTATGTGTCTATTGTACTTACTGGGTAGATGTATGGTATGAAGAATTGATTAATTGGAACGATCTTATACACGGACATTGTAGATGGAAACAAGATCGGAAATAAAAGCACTGAAACCAGTTGTAGGACGTTCATTATTTCAACAATATCAACCGATCAACCAACAAGCACCATAAAAGTATGGAGATCTACTGTCCACAAGAGATAGTAGGCAAAACAAAAAGATGACAAACGCCGTCCAGAACCTGCATACCGGATGCCTCCGAACGCCTGCGTGTGACAAGAATCAAATACCCATTGATAGGTAGATAGGCGAAAAGAGACCAGGCCCAAAAGGAGAGAAACGTCAGAACCGACGAAACAAGTAAATACAGTGACTGATCGGTGATTTGGTATAATCTACGTGGGAAAAAAAAAAAGGAACTGAGGATCTGGGGAATCTGAAAGAAGGTTCTCAAAGTCGAAATGGCATCTATGTGCGACTCAAAACTCTCGTAAATTGCAATAACTGGTCGTGGCAGTTCCAAGTGGTTCGTTATGGTGGACAAGGAACGATTAAGAGCGGTTCTTTGGCTGAGCAAGCGCATTCAGCCGGCTCATGGTCAGCGCATTCCGGCTCCTCTGTCGTGCGCTGGCCGGGGTTCCCGTTCGACTAGCACTTATGGTCGACCGGAGAGGGGTGTGTGAACGCGCCTTGGAGGGGCTAGGGTTTGGCATCTTCGATGGGGAGAACTTGAACGGCGAGAGCTTCGATGGGGAACTCAGCTTGACTCTCTTCGCACTGCGGTTTTCTGCGGCGGTGTCGGCTGGCGGTACATTCTCGGTGTCAACATCTCTCCCAGCTGCATCTCGATGTCTCTTCTTGTTGCCGATGCCATGAGGCACACCTGGAACATCGGGAAGGGACGGATCATGAGTGGCTTCCGTGTCGCGGTGTCGCTTCTTGCTGCCGATTCCATGTGGAACGCCGGGGATATCCGGTATAGAGAGACTGGTAGGGGCATCTGATTGACGGACGTGACGGATGGTGGGCGACTTGATCTCGGTACCGGACTTCTTTGCAGCATGATCCGGTGTCAAAGTGGGCAAAGTGGGATATACAACATCCGATACAACCCGGGACGGAGAGCCGGTGGTTAATTTGGAGGGCGAAGGGGATGGCAGAGCTTCATCATCCTGCAATCTAGTGCTGGAGGAGAACTCAACACGTTTCTTCGGTGATGGGGTCACTGCAGGCTCCTCCGAAGCATCGCGGGTTCTGCCCAAAAGGAAGTTGGAACTGAATTCCGGGGCTGCCACATGTGTTCCTGCTGCGATCTTCGCGGGGTCTTTCGAAAACAAAGGCTGATGGGGACGAAGGATCGACTTTAGGTTCAACTGGGGCAAGCCGCTCTTGAATCGAGGGTTGAAGTCCGTGCGGGGTGTGCGCGGGGTTGTCGACTGCTTCGAAGTAGGGGAATGTGCAAGAGATGGTCGAGGGAGCATGCTGGTGCGAGAGGGTTTGAGGCTGGTGGCCGAAGTACGCGCCATGGAGGCTCGAGTAGGAGTCATCAAAGAACTGCGGATCGCAGGCCTCGTGCGACTCGCAGCTGGCCTTGACGCGCTCTTCTCACCAACCGTCTGACGGCGAGTGGAGGTGTCATCGCCCTTGTCATGTTTAACGCGCTTGGCACTAACTGGAGCAGGGGCAGGCGATTTAGTCGTCGATTTAGTCGTCGATTTGGTGGGCGAATTTTGGTTGGACTCATCCAACCGTGTCCGCTTGAGAGTCTTTTGGACAGGCTGGAAGCGACCGGGAGTGGCGCGGAAGGCCGACGCGTGTCCAGCAATTGAATCCATCTTCTTGAATTCAGCCATATGAGCAGCGCTGAATCGGTTGGCCTGGCCCTTTGGTTCGGCGATCCTGCGAGATTCTGCCTGGTCATTACCACCTTGGTCGGGCTGGCTCTCCTTCTCCTGAACCATCTGAGCTTTGATTCTAGCAACATCCTCGCGCACGCTCTCCATGAGCTTCTTGGCTTCATCGCTTAGCTGGGAGTCCGCGGAAGAAAACTTGAACTCGAAGGCGGGCGTGCCGTAGTATGCCGAAGCGGGCGAGGCCTTTGTCTTGCTGGGGGTAGTCTCGACTAGAGAATCTTTCATCACATTCCCTTCGGCATCTTTCTTAATCGGGTTAAAACCGAGGATCAGGCCCGAGTCCGCCTGCTTGGTGGTGCTTTGATGGACCTTGCTGGGATGCATCTCTTGGTGAGATGGACGAGTGACTGCACTGGTGGGTGTTTTCGCCGGGGTTTGCTTTTGAGCAGGAGTGGCCTTGTGTGGGGTGCGGACATCAGTTGTGGACTTTGGAGTAGCGGCGGTGGTGGTGGTGTGGTTAGAGGGAACGTCGGCGGGAGTTTCTTCGCGTTCCATGACGGAGGGGAGTTTGTTGTTCTTGTGGTTGGTTTCGGTAGTAGTGGTGGTGTTGTTGACAGGCGACGCGGGCGGCTGCGGTTCCTTCAATCAGGAACCAAAGTCAGTTGTCTGGCACTTGACAAGATCGATGCAAGGGCAACATGGGCAAGTGAATGAATGGGAATCAACCGGTCGATGGTTGTGTGGGCGACTTACATTCGAAGCCTGGCGATTACGCAGGCGGGCGGACCGTCGAACCGCCATGATGATGGGACGCGAGCGGTGTGAATTGAATTCAGGAAAGGATGGAAGACGCTGGCCGTGGAATGATGGAATTGTGGCAACGGGGACGAAGGGATGAAAAAGAAAGAGAGCGAAGGGCGAGCGTCGCCCGATTAGGCGAGAATGTAAACAAATATTGCCGGGCGGTGAGCTGACGTCAGTGGAGTGACTTCATGCAACGTGACTGGAGACCATCTGATGTCAGATGCCCGGAAACCATCATGTCCAGTATGCTTCTGACTCTTGAAAGTGGCTACTATCCTGCCTGTGCTAAGAGGACATGCCCCTTAGCTGCCGAGTCAGCACGCTATATTTATCACGTATCGTCAGCGACTCGACCATAGTACCCACGCTAGCGTCGAACTACTAGGAAGCATCTCCAAGACTCCAACATACCAACATTAGTATGACAGGCCCCAGTCGCCTGCGGAACACATTACTTGCAGATAAAGTAGGTAATAGATGTCCTCAGAGCTGCAGGGGGCTAAGTCAGACATTCCTGGTTGAGCAGGACAATCAATCATCGTTTTCCGTTTCCTTCCCCGTTCTTTACGCCCCCACACTGTAGTTCGGCATTCCCAAGTCATCGTTGATCCTCGTATACTGTAGTAGGAGATACACGTTGCTCCGGTAACATTATGACTCTAGTATGTAAGATAGTTCGAATAAACCTTTCGAGAGACCTGAACGAGAGCTTATCGTCTAGTCATAGAGCAAAGAGAAGGCCATTACAAACTCTTCATTAGTTATCTAATTCTTCGTTACCATCCTCCTGATTCAACCCGAAAACAAAAAGTAGAAAAACCAGCAATAATGTCAAGCCCCATGCACATAGTACACCCCCCCCCCATCTCACCTTCCCCTAGGCAAACTTCCTACCTCATTTACAAGGTCACAACGATCTTCTTCGCTGAGATGCCCTGCTGAGATAAAGAGACACCCTCAGGGACCTTCCCCAAGCCCTCTCCAACCACCAAGGGCTCAGGGACCGCTTTCAATGTCCCATTCATCAATGCCTCAGGGACATACTTACCCCAGATACCCTCCGAGATCTCCTTAAAATCAGAGATATTCGCGACATCAGCAACTGCTCACATATATCAGTACAACTGACTTCCATCACGGTGATAACGGACGTATATGAAACTCACCACCAACCACCTCCACTGCATCAGGTACATCCTGAACCGGCATAGGCAAGTTTGTAACCACACGTCCACCACCAAGTCCCTTAACCACATCCGCACAGCTCCTTACCGTCCCCTCCTCCGCAATAGCATCCAGGGCACCCACAAATTCCCCTGGAGTATCTTGAATAGCCTTGACTAGGTCTTGGATAATGCTATCCTGGTGGTAATCCAGCACCTTAGCGGCACCGAGACTCTGCACGAAGGAATGGTTCTTTGCAGACGCGGTGGCGATAACAGTTGCCCCCGATGCTACTGCCAGTTGGATTGTTGCGCTGCCGGTGCTCGATGAGCCGCCCCAGACGAGGATAACCTTGTTGATGGGTTTTGGCTGAAGGGTATGGGGTAAGGGGAGCTCAAGCCGGCCAGCTGGGTAGAGGCCCATTGCTGCCGTTGATAGGGCTATAGGGAGGACGCTTCCGCTCTCGAAGGATACAGTGTCCGGGAGGGGGGACACGAGGGTTGTTTTACAGATCGTATAATTTTGGAACCCAGAGTCCCTGATTTCATTGGTAAGGAACCAGTTGGCTACCCTACAAAAAGGTCAGTTTCATCCTTTGGTGGTTTGTGAAGTGAGGTGGGTTTTTTTCCTACCCCATTACTCGGTCTCCCTTTTTGAAGGTGGTTACATCTTGGCCCACTTCGTAAATTTCTCCGGCTATGTCGCCGCCGAGGATCTATTTGATCATCTTATTAGCCGCTCTTTTTCAAGGGAGACGAGGTATACGCACGAAAGGGTATTGCTTGGGAAAAGGAAGGTCCGGACCATAGACCTGGATCTTCCAGTCCACTGAGAATATTCAGTTAACAACTTCCTCTGAACGCATGAAGGAAGCAACACGTGTGAACTCACTGGGATTGACCGCGACAGCTTTGTTCTTGATGAGAACTTCATCAGGACCGGGGGTATGCAATGGGGCCTCTTTGACAACGAAGTCTCCGCCCGCTTCTAGAAGCCAGACCGCAGAGTTGGAAGCCGACATGGTTGGAAAGGGGTTTATACTGGGAGGTTTTGAAAGGATATCAGCCTGGGTAGATCGTGTCGATTGGGATGGTGTATCGAAAGAGTGTACCCTCTTGTTGAGGGCTGGTCTCTATTTATACCCATCCTTTGCATTTGAGATGTGCCATCGTCCTGTCGGTGTTAACGGAACAGCCAAAGTGACCTTGAGACCGAACCCCTATGCAAGTTAATGGACAGTGATCAAACGTTGGGTATGATGAATATGTGGGGGTCAGTCCTACTAGTAATGGATGGATCGGCGATTAGGGCCATGGAACAAAACGGGCCAGGGTTAGACTCTTTCTCCGTGGTTTATGAAATCGGCTCCCGTCTTAACTCCAATCTCCGGAGGGCACAAACATCGAGCTGCGTTCAAGGATTAGAAATCAAGAAATTGCCTGTTTCTGCTCCTTTCTCCACGGATCTCGTTGAAGCCGGCTGCCGATAATTTACATAAAACGATGTTGCTATGATATGGTCCTCGGATGAATCACAATTGTCGTTCAGTTCGTCTATTATGGACTTTTGTGCACAGATGATTTATGATACTGGCTCTACTTTCGTTGTCGTCCATTATAATCCAAATGGATAAGTCTCCTCCTTTCCTAGTGGCGTCGCCGGCTCATGTTTTTCCAGTGGCTTCACAGCATGGGTCTCATCGAACCATACATACCCATCAAACTGATTGAGCAGGTCTGCCGCCGAATAGTGGGACATCTTCTCTGTATCTGGCCGGTAAATCACACCGATAAATCGTTCAAGCCGGAGAGGCTCAGCTTCAAATGCAGCCGCCAGGTTTGGATCGATGCGATCCCGTCGCAGATCGATTAAGAAGCTCGGGATTTCCGTATTGTGAGCGACACGTTCCCAGCTATCCTTCCGCGAGGGACGAACATCCATGACCTCCACGTCCTCGTCCCATTCGTGCGCTGCTGCCACCGTACCAGTATGCGTGCCACAGCCAATCAAGGCAACATTCTCACGGCCGAACTGCTCACGGCAGAGCTGACCGATATTCACCTCTTTGCGCCGGGTCCCCATACTGGTGTATCGTGCGTCTCCACAGTGAGAATTGTGTGCCCACACCACGGCTTTTGTGCCCTCGGGCTTATGATGTAGTGTTCGACGGAGAGTATTTACCATGTGTGTATCGCGCAGTGTCCACGACGCCGCGGAGCTGTAATACATAGCTTTATAGTAGCGCTCGGCATCGCGCACCAGATACGCATTTTGCTCACCACTATGGTACTCCTCGCCGTCATGGCGGGCTTCGGAATACTCTAGTCGCCGTTGTAGCAAGTCACGGAGCGTGTCTAGCACCCCCTTCTCACAGTTCTCCATCCCGCGCATTGCAGCGAGCCCGTACATTGCGGGATCGTCTACCCATGGCTGCAGACAGCTATATCGCTGACGGGCAACTTTACCGGCAGCTGGATCAACACGGTCGAGGTAGTCAATCACCGCCTGGATTGAGGTCCCCAAACTGTATATGTCAAGACCGTAGAACCCGACTTTTTTGTGGTACGGGACTTGTGTGTTGTAATTGCGCATCCATTCGACCAGCTCCTGCATCTCGCGGTTGCGCCACATCCACGTGGGAAACCGAGTAAAGGGATCAATGGGCTTCGAGTGGCCGCCAATGTTTGTCTTGGGGCCTGGACGCTGACGCACGTAGCGGTCGATTACTTCAGCGTCGGGCCAATCGGCCTCTACGGCTACCATGGTGAAGCCATGGTGCTCGATTAAACGCTTGGTGATCTCCGCCCGCGCGGTGTAGAATTCCGAGGTGCCATGGCTGCCATCACCCAGAAGGACAAGACGATGATCTGCGAAGCTGTCGAAGTTCGAGCTGAAGCTGGGGTCTTGAATGTCCGGCAGGGGATGGGCTGCCGCTGCAAATAGTTCCTGGAGTTGTGACATAGTACGAACCTGTCGGAACGGTCGCATAAAATGCCAAAATCTGCGATTCATGGATCAAATGTCGTAAACATAATGGCTTGATATTCTCAGCAACTGTAGCGAAGCAAATTTGTTATAGTGTTCGTTCTATTGTTGGGCGAGCGGCAAATAAAATCACATGCCCGGCAACGGTGGTCATCATGACTTCACATCTTCTCCATATACGCCTTCGCAGCAATCAAGCCAAAGAACAAGCATCAAAGCCTTTCCAGGTGGATGTAGGTCATGCCATTTCCCAATTACACACTCAGAAGATCTATTTATCCAGTAATTTTTAGCAGAACCTACAATAGTCCTCTATATCCCTGCAATCGTAGGATCATGTCAGATGCATTTCCCGACGCCACCTCTCGCCTAGAGCGCTTCCAGGAGGCCCAGGAATCATTATATGGCGACCTCCGCTCTATCGCCAATCCCCAGGATTGGACTCCACCCCCGCAGTCTGGTGGTCATCGCGGCCGATACCTCTGGACTGACGCTTTCGGGGTGATCAACTTCATCACGCTACATCGTGAGTACGAGAAGGGGCTGGCGCCCTCTGCCTCTGCACCTGATGACCGATACTTGACGCTGGCACGTCGACTAGTCGAAACAGTCCACGAGGTTCTGGGGCGTACGCGGGATGGTCAAAGTCGCCTGCCCGGTGCAACAGACGACAACCCGATGGGTGGTGGACTGCGCATTGGTAAGATAGAAGAGCACGGCTCAGACGGTGATGGCCAATACCATCACTATTTAACTTTATGGATGTTCGCCCTCAACCGGCTATCGCTGGCAACCGGTGATCCAACGTACAATCGGCAGGCGATAGCGTTGGCCAGAGCCATCCATCCTCGGTTCTTCATCGGGCGCCATTTGCCCCGGCCGCGGATGGTGTGGAAGATGTCAATAGATCTGACCACAGCACTGGTGGCCTCAGAGGGCAATCTGGACCCGGTCGATGGATTTGTGACGTTTCGGTTGCTGCAGGCGGCAGCCATGCAGATGGGCGACGGCGAGGTGCTAGCCAATGAGATCGCAGATTACAAGAAGGTGATGGAGAGAAAAGGGAAGCACTTTGTGACGAGTGATCCGTTGGATCTGGGGATGAGCTTGTGGACAGCACATTGGTTCGCAGAGAAGGAGGACTGGGCAACAAGCTTGTCCGGTCAATGCTTTGAACAAATTTGTATGTCCTTGATTCTCGTGTTGTCCCTCTCGTCGTGTTTGGTAATAACATCAGACAGATGAGCTCTTTGAGATTGACCGCTACCTCGACCGCAGCCACAAATATCGCCTGGCTTTTCGGGAATTCGGGACTTGTATGGGCATCAAATGCATGTCAGAGCAATTGTCTGAGAAGGAAAGCGCCGTTGATCTCAAAGTGTATGCCAACAATATCCTGGACTCATGGAATATATACATGCAAAGATCACTCGCAACGAAAGTGACACCAGATGATCTCCGCCCAATAACGCGGGTGATGTATGCCTCGGCACTGCTACCAGGAGGTTAGTATATCAATCTCCAATGCTGCAGCACGTTGATAAGATTGGACTGACCGAAATGTGCAGCTTTTGCTCGCGGGTACTTAGGACCTGAGCCTTTGGTCAGGCCAGAGAACTAACCAAAAAAAGATACTGAGCAGTCAAGATGTACTTGGAAAAAAAATTCATGTGTATATTCTGCGTCCAGTACTCTACAATATGCATCATTGTGCCAGATACCGTGTATGCTCGATAATATATGACCCGGGTGGCAAATCGTATTAACGTCAAGTAAAGAGAACAATGAACACTCTATACGCCAGGAATGCCCACAACATCCCTCCAGGGGATGACCCGCCGGGGCAGAATGTAGATGGTATAAACAGCGCTTAGGGCGATCAGTAAACCGGTCAACTATCACGTATTAGTCAATCCTCAAAGCAAAGGTGATTCGGTTGAATATGTATGTCAGAGGGGCGAAATACCTTCTCGAACCACGTATGGAACCAGATAGCAGTCATCAGCAACATCCACCAACTCAGGCCCGTAACTGCACCGACGAACCATACGGACCACTTCCTCGACCCACTCAGTTCGCGATCCCCGTCCTCCGACTTCTTGCTTCCCTGGTCGATGTCCGAAGCGCCCCTCCATGCTCCAATTGTCTCAAATGCCAGCATTGCAGTCGCAAGAACCAGCATGAACACATGTCCGCTTACATCATGGCCGCCTCTCCATGCTCCACCGGCGGACTTGCACGCTGTAGCGGTCAACAGTGTGTGGAGCGAGGCAGAACCCTCTTCAGCCTGCGGGATGACCTGCTCACACTTCCCGCCCGAAATCACAAAACTGCGATCGATTATTGCCGGACCAAAAAACCATTGTGTAGTCAGGTACCAGATTAGGGTAGCCAGAGAATAACGCGCGAGCGCCTGACCGATCCGCCGCGGTTGTTGACTGGACGAGGTCGTGTACGGGAGCTGAGAAAACAGAAGGGAAGCGAAAGCCGCAGTCACCCAAAGCCAGCCAACTTTCACAAAATAGACATTAAAGACATTGTCCTTGCGGGCGAAGTAATTGACGGGGTGTTGGGGGAGGTTCACATCGGCGGCGATTGAAGGGGCTAGAGGCGTCGGATGGCCGGAGGGGGGATCTCGGGTGCCCTGTGCTGTCGGGGAGAGAACAGAAAACAGCGATCCTATAATTAAAGTAATAGGATAGACAAGGAGGGCAGCCGTAGGTGGTTGGTATAACCGCGGTATTGTCGGAGAAGGGGATTTGTCTGGTGATGCCATGTTTTTTTCACCTGCCTATTTTTGTTCAGTTTTCGATCCCCTGTTCTGAGCCTTCCGCGTTTCCTCAGTCAATTTACCTGAGGATGATGAATAAAACAGAATATGTGGTAGAGTCAAATAGAATTCCGGATTCACGCAATTGAGTGAGAAGTTGTGTTGGTGACTCGGCGGAAACGGAGGGTATGCAGTCACAGTAATAGTTTAGACTTGAATGATTAAATTTAGCCTCGGAGACGGAGGGATGACGTCGATGGCACGCATGTGCCCACCGCCAGTTGACTTTAATTCTGTAGCTTCACCACATTCGCCACCAGCATCTTAGATTACAAAAGTTGACCAATGTATTAATTGCTAGCAGTCCCGGTGATGAATGAAGTGAGAAGAATATTTAGATTAAATTTCTTGATCGGCTCAGTGAGTCAATACACTATCCGAACACTTGACTTCAACAATTAGAACTAAACCTACTAAGTGTTATTCTACCTTAGGTAAATCATAAACATGTACATCATAACTTTGGAAATGCGCTGTACAACCCATAATCGCCCCTTACTGAGCCTTGGGCAGCGAGGCCTGGAGTGGTAGTTTCCGTGACGAGTTACCAACGTAGATCGTCTTGGGGTAGGGAGTAACGGCCCAGTCCTGAGCCGAAACGTCCCAGTTGGCAAGGTCACGACGGGTAAGGGTCGTCGTCCACACGACCTCCTGCGATGGAGCCAAGTGCAGACGGTCAAACTTGCGCAGCACCACCTTAGGCTCATTCGGGCCGCCCAGGGAAACGTACTGTGCGGAAGAAGTTAGCATTGATAATCCTTACACCTCATCCGATCATGTCAACTTACCAGCTGAGGAACTTCATAACCGGCGACATCACCCGTGTTCTTAACCTTCACTGAGATGCGGAAGAGATCTTCGTACAGACCGGGATTACCGCCGGCACCACCGCTAGCGGGCAAACGGGGCTGGGCAGACCCATCCGTGGCGCCTTCAGGGATATATTTGGAGTCGTCCCAGCCATAGTTATCATCGTCAGCCGATGCCTTCAGGTCGGTAGAGTTAATCCATGGATAGATAAACTCATGGATCCTCTCTAGCCCCTCCGGATACACGTATTCCGAGGCATCGCCAATTTCACCAAAGTTCTTTGCAGCTTCAGTCATGCCACTGGTGGGAGTGTATTGGGATGCGTTCAGGGGTTTAACATGGAGATCGGAGAGTTCGAAGGTGGTGTAGCTCAAGCCGTAGCCAAACTCGTAGATGGGGGTCTCGTTGAACTTATCGAAATGGCGGTAATCGATGAACACGCCTTGGGTGAAATCAGATTGGGGCGCTCCGTTACCATTGTTGGCATCCTTGACCAAGGGAGAACCGTACGACTCCCGGGTCTTGCCCCAAGTGAAAGGAGACTTGGCACTAGGGTTGACACGACCGTACAGGACATCGGCAATGGAGTTGCCAGACTCCTGACCGGGCAAACCAGCCCAGAGAATACCGGTGACATTGGGGTGATCATACCATTCATTGATCAAGACGGGTCCGACAGAGTGGATGATGACAACGGTATTGTTGCAGTTGTTCGCTGCGGTCTTGACCACATTGTCGCCGTTCTTCCACAACGTGATGTTGTTGCGATCGCCCTCGTTTCCGTCCACACTAAGATAGCCTTCTCCTGAGTCGGAATTGACAAACACGAGAGACACGCTGGCCTGACGGGCAGCCGCAGCGATCTTGTTGAGCGCCCAGTTGTCGGTCACGGCGAAGACATTACCACGGCCCTTCAGGACTTCGTTCTGAATCGCCTGCTCCGGTGTCACGAGATATGGGAAATTCGCGGTACCGCTACCCCAGGCCATGGCAAGCGTACCGTTATCGCATCCCCGGTCATCACAGCCGTTAGCACCCCATGCGTTGGAACCCGCATCCTCTCCCAGAAGGGCAACCAGCTTTTCCTTGCGGCTCAAGGGCAAGGCACCCTCGTTCTTCAGCAGGACGGTGCTCTCCGCGCCGATGCGACGGATCAGGTCGGCATGATCGCGTTGCACGTCCACAAATTCGTTGACCCTCTCGTAAGCACCTTCCGAAACATGGTTATGCGCAAAACCATATTCGTCCCTGGTCCACGAGCTGAAGTTGGGAGGAGTATACTTGGTGTCGCGGCCAACCTTGTAATAAGCAGCCATGATTCGGACGGCCATGTCATCAACACGCCACTGGGGGATTGTGCCGTTAAGAACACCGACCGTTAGGTTTGCACCCCAGAAAGACGTGCCGCTATCGAAGGTAACATCACCAGGCATCGACATATCCATACCCGCCAAAGCAGCGCCTACACCGCTGTGATGAGCGGTCCAGTCACTCATGACAAAGCCTTGGAAACCAAGTTCCGCCTTCAAGAGCTTGTTCAAAGTTTCGCTGTTCTCGCAACCGTAGCTGTTGTTGATCTGGTTGTAAGAGCACATGATAGCACCAACTCCAGCGCGTACTGCATCCGCGAAGGGCCAGAGGTACAATTCATGCATAGTCTTGTCATCGACGTTGGAACTCAGACTGTCGCTTACGTTGAATCCATAACCCGCAGCCTCAGGTTGTTGGCGGAAATGCTCTTGTTCGTTCAAGATATAATGCTTAGCTGTCGCGATGACACCAGCATCTTGAATGCCTCTAATCGTCTCTGCAAACAGCACACCGGTTAGGGCTGGATCGGGCGAGAAACCTTCCCAATTTCTACCGCCGTCCGGATGAGCACCGAGAGGGCCAGCAGCAGGACCCAGCTGAACGTCAATGCCCTTATCACTGAACTCTTCGCCCATTGCCTGACCGCGGAGGTAGGCGAGCGTCTTGTCCCAAGTGGCAGCGACATTAACACCCGCAGGGAAAGCTGAATTGTAGTCCGCTGCGCGTCTACTGTCAGCAACAAGTTAAGAAGAAAGGGGAGATGAAGAGCCACACGTACAAAAACGGATACCGAGAGGGCTATCCTGCAAGCACAGGCTGGGAATGTTAAGTCTATATTCACAACCATTAGCCTTCTGTACGGGTGTAATGTCACGTTGGAAAGTTACTTACCTGGGAACACTGCCAGTCTGTCCAACACATCTCTCTAGCTGCCATCTAAAAAGTATGTTAGCTGATCGAGCCCCGGACATACTAGAGTATACAAAAGCTTACCCCGTTCCTGTCGTTAGGTTGACTTTCTCGGTCAGCGTCATCTGGGACACTATGTCCACAGCGCGCTTGTACACTTCCGCCCATTCACCCTGACCATCTGCCCACGGGGAAGGGTAGAAAGGAGGGGAGTACGCGAGATCATCCTATTCGGAGTGGAAAGTGTTAGAAAGCTGATTCGACTAAGTACGATAGCACCGTATAGGATCGTGAAGCATACCTTGGCATTGACTACTGAGGCAGCCGTCAATGCGGCCACCTCGAACCAACCAAACTTCATGATAACGTGCAAGGTAACCAGCAGAACAGAAAATGGATACCAGGTCACCACAGGATGTTCACCAAGAGGGATTGCTGAGTGAGGGAAAATCACCAAGAGTGGAGGGGAGAAAGAATGATATAAATAACTACCGGCATGGCAACGAGGGACCACCCGACGCCACCAACAATGGAAAAAGTGGTTAAGTACAACAAATGATGTAGTCCTTGCTTTGCGGTCTCGGCACAGCTACCCACTGGCCGTCCCGGCGCAAGCTGTCACGCATGCAGAGGGGGGAAAGGGAGACCCGCTGTTTGCTCTGTGATCGGCGTGGGTGTTCCAGATTCAGCGACGCGAGTGGAACAAATTCCATCAATAGATGCGATGATGTGGGCGGAGCTATAATGGATCTTTTCAAGGGAAAAAAAAAAGGGTTATTAGCAAGGGAACCAATAAACATTACACGGAGGAAAAAGCAATGACGATCCGATTCGTTACCCTGTAGACTTCTGTTTCTTAGAGTAGTAGTGTGTTGTCAGTCAGTGCACATTGTTTCTCGGCATTCTGAGCCATGGCCTGAGAAAGCCCATCAGGTGGCCCAGTGAGTCGGTTGGAAAGGTATTTGCCCCGCAACAGCAACCCTGGCGCGCCTTGGTTTGTTGTCTTTTGGACACCGGAAAAGAAAAAGAAAACTGGGGAACAACAAAGGCACCATCAGGTACGTCCTGGTATGGTGTACGGGGAAGCTGGGGGCGCTAGTGCCCTTCAGGGGTACTAGTTCCCTGGTAATCGGATTACAGAACCACCCGTCCCTTCATGCCTTCTCAGTATAGTATATCCAGTAGGCACTGCTGAATTTACTAAGGGTTAAGACAGCAATACTCATAGTTTATTTCTGGTCTAACATTCCAACTCCTTCTAGAGATCCTTGACATACCTCCCTCTTCAATATTCACGCAGTTCTTTGGCAGGAGTTGAGACACAACAAGACATGCTCCTGTAGGACAAGAACTGGATAGATACAGGATGCGATCCATGTTACCCCTAGTCCGTACGCAATATCCATTCCAGGAAAGATATAGGCCTTAGGCGGCCATCAAACTAGGTAGGATTTAGGAAAGTACCAGTGGACAACATTACACCATATTTTCATGACAAAGGTGAATTAGAGAGAGAAAAAAAAATAAATAAAATAAAATAAAATAAAATAAAAAATAAAAAATAAAACCTTGTAGGTTCTACCAACGGTGCCATGGTCTTAATGACCAGACTAAGATCACAAGTTCCGCATCCGTCTACACAATACATGAGTGATGTTACGGTATCACTGCGAGACCAGCCTCCCCCGCATCTTCCAATCTTTCGAAGGGTTTGCTGGCGAAGGGAATGAGCTGGCTCACTCTTTTTCCAATCACTTTTAGGTCGCCAGGATCGCCACTGTCCTGCCTCCTGTGTCCTAGATTCCCTTTGGCAGGGAGCAAGGGATGAAACGGGCACGTGTACGGTACAGTGATTCTAGATCTATTCTATTTCTATACGCTAGAAATCACTCCGTGGCTGGGACAATTGGTCGCAACGAAAGAAGAAAAAACAGAACAGACGGGATCGAGAGATTGCGATCATGGACTCGCAGAGTGGAGTCCAATGTTTAATTTCATCGCTTGATCGCCCTCCATTATTGCCTGATTCAGGCCTTCGTCGGCAGAGACACCGACATCATTTTATCCATTTTAGCAGCCGATGGGTTCAAATCCTCTCCATAGATCATACTATCCATCGGCATGGCTCACGTTCATGCTCCCGACAGATCTAGTATAGGTGCCTTTCTATACAGTTGGAATGTGGTCCCTACGACATCCCGCGACGATCTTGCAGAGCCTTCGAGATCTCCATTCCAACGATGAACCATGTTTCCGTCTACAGTAGAGATCGCTTGCCACATGGCTGTCAGTTTCACCTTAATCCAAACTCCGAGATAAAGCCCGTAGAGCCATCTAAAGTCGGTACCGGGGCACGGACGGCCTCCTCTTACCTTCTCCGTCGGTGTGTAGAAGATGGGATCCCGGAAATGATCCGAATGCGAAGATTCGGGGTTGGCTGTGGGGAATCCACAAATCCTCCGTGGGGCGTTTATGGTTGAAAGTGAAAGCAGTCAAAGGATTCTCGGGATTGGAATCCCCATGGTCATTCCGACAATCTCATTCTTTACGATCATTGAAAGTTATCACCCGTATGGAGTACCAGTGAAGGTTTTGAGTGTGGGGCAACATGGCATGAAGGTAGTATTGCTTTTCCTCCGCCGCAAAGGATTCTTCGCTTCACCACGATATGTTTGACAAGACTCCTTAATATTTCATATCGAGGTATGTGGCAATAACATATCATACTACCGCAAGGTGAGTGTGCTACCAAGAATCTCGGTATGAGGCCACTTCACACAGCAGCAATACTCCGCTACATTATTTAGCATTAACCGGGATACGCAAATTAGCCTGTTTACAGTTCATTTAATGCACTGTGGAGTGCATACTGTGCATGTAAACTGCCCCCACTCAGTGGTATTTAATAACCCATCTCATTTTGACCATCTCTACGGCTTCAGAAGCCAAGCAACAATAATACCTTGACGTCATTCTCACTACTCCACTGCCTGAACACGCGATACAAACAGGCCTTTGTATATTTACTCGGAGTAATATTCCCCACATTTCACGACGCCCGTGGGGTAACCGGGGATCTGGAGTACCTTCAACTGGCCGCAAGCCCCGAAGCTACCGCAGCTTGCACTTTAGCAATCCGATGGCGCTCGGATTCCCGTGTCTTCTGCCGATGTTTAGCCATAAAGAAGGAAATTGTGCCTTTCCTTCTATACATGGCAACCCATTGTGCCCTAGTCCGACTTTAGAGTCATTTTTCTGTAACTTTGGACTGGAGAGTTCAGATATAAAGTTTTGGGTATGAAATTGACCGCGCCGGGTGTTTGGTTGCTGCTAGGCTGCCTTTTGCCTTCGCTGCTGTTTATGCATCTGCTGTCTTTCCAGAGGAAATCAGAGTATGCCGCTTGGGCTTAAAACCCGCACTATAAATTCAATATAATAGTGTATCGGGTCCAACGGCAAACGAATTGGCAAGCCGCTCATTCCCGAGTAGCTTCTTCGCTGTAACTCTTCAGAATATACTATTTCCATATAGCTCAACGTATGGTACCTAAGCGTGGTTTGTGAAGAATGAAGGTAAAAGTACACGCACAGTGAGATGGGCCCATCATGGAACCATCACACCATGGTATACGATCAGTATGCACCATATGCTGGAATACTTGATCGCACTTCGAACTACATCCGATACAACAACCCACAAATCCATAACCCATCACATAATGTAAATCCCGAAGCCATTGTCCCACATACCCGCCTCACTCAGGAACTCAGGAACCCAGGACCGGACACAGACATATTCGGCCTCCACAGTCGCTCACCGAGGTCGGCAGATTTTCCTCTCTCCAACCACCATTTCTCCGCTACGAAGGCCAATACCGATAGTTATTATAACGGTTAACTTCCTAGTTCCAGGTCCAGTTCCGATCCCGACTCTCTCTCTCTCTCTCTCTCTCTCTCTCTGCTACATCGGACCGTGGGACGATCGACACCATGACCCGGTAACGGCATAATAGCCTAAGTGGCTATTTCATGCTAAATACTGGGTAAGGTAGCGAAAGGGTTCCATGGGATTTCCCGAAAAGCATCAAGATGACGGCCCGGGTCGGTCGGCGGAACTGCGGTGAGTTGTCGGGTAATGGATAGGTCATGGTTATGGCATTTGGAATATAGCTCCGGTGAAAGGTTTGTAAGAGCTTTGTCACTAGTAACTATTTGACGTAAGGGTCTTTTGGGGCTCTTTTTTCTCGAATATTCGTGGGGTGTTTAGACTGTCACTTGGTTGGTTCCATATGTTTGTTCATTGCCCTTCGTGGTGCTGACGTGTTGTGCATTCTATGGTTTTACGGAACCATGCTCTCGAGCAGGGTAGGTCCTGGAAAGTTTGGTTCAATTACGCTGTTAAATTAAGTTTGGTTCTCGGAGACATATACTGGAGAGAAACCCATAGAAGCTAAGTACAATCTGAAGAAACCCCTCCCATGATAGTCGTCACAGTCTGTTCACAATATATACGTCAGCTGTTCCTGCCATGCTTTTCAGAGATGGCAAAGCCTGTCGCTCCTCAGGCAAATCAGAGCTTGGCATCTCGTGGAGCACCCAAAGAAGAGCCATTGAATGGGCTGATGTCTGGAATCGCATCCGGGAGTTCGGAGTTCTCGCCGTGCGCCAGCTTGAACAATGGTTCCCAGACGGTGACGGCCCGTTTGGTGATATGTCCATTTCCCATCTCTGGAAGATGGTAATAGATCAGTTTATCTGCGGAGCATTCCAGCAGTTGGCCAGCCATGCCCGTTTCATCTTCTAAGAATATTTGGACTGCGTCGAGGACCGTCTTCATCGGAGTCCGACTATGGGGTTTCAGGTCAGCAGCCGCTCAAATATGGATCAGAGTACGGTATATGGGGAAGAGAGCCGAGATAAAAGCAACGAAACGACTTCGACTGGACAAAACCTACCATTCCGGAGCCACGGCCTCGATCATCTCAGGAGGAACAATGGGCGTGGCAACAATACCGGGCAAGACGCAGTTTATAAGGATGTTATCCTTGGCCTTCAATGTGGGTGCAACGGCACGAACGAATTGATTGACTGCTGCCTTGGTCCCACTGTATTCGGGATACGTTTTATGAGGGAAAATACCCCCGATACTGCCGGTCACCACGATCCTTCCGCCCGCCTCAGGCCTGTTGTGCCGCATAAAGTGCGTTGCTAATACAGTACCATATACGACACCTTTGAAATTTATATCAGTGCAGGAAAGGTCCGGCTCTGGAGGGACGTCCTCCGCGCCTTTATCACGCTGGTTAAGAAGATAAAGCGAGGACTGGTCACCCACGCCAGCGTTCGCGCAGAGGACATCAATTCGCCCCCATAACTGGAAAACCTTTTTGAAGACGGCAGCTTGGCTCTGATAGTTGCTGACATCTGCTTGGAAAAAACGTGCGTCCTCACCCAGGCTCTGCACTAGATCGTTTCCAGCCTGGGTTCGGCGGCCAACACAGGCGACTTTCCATCCGCGTGAATGCAGGTTCCTGGCAATATCGGCTCCAATGCCAGACTAGCAGAGGATGGACGTGGAGTGAGTGGATCTGTCATCCTCTATTGACTAAATGGAGTACTTACAGTCGCGCCTGTTACAATGGCAACTCGTTTATTCTGTTCACCCATTTTCTGCGTCGGATATATGTGTGGGTGACAAGAATTGGGAGAACCAGCGTTCAGACATTGTGCCACATGCTAAGAACCACTACTTTTAGTTTAGACTGCAAGCGCGCACAAATAGCTTCGGGGTTATTAAATGATTGCTGGCTAGCCCATGCCTATTACCCGCAGTGGAGAAAGACCCCTACGCGATGTGACTTAGTCTCTTGCCATAGCGGGAAGTCAGGAGGCGATGAAAAACAGGAGGGGGGGGAAGCCCAGAGAGAGTACAAGAAAATATATAAGAAACGCTGCTATAACTATCCGTTGTTCTGGGTGGCTAATGCCACACTCTTAGTGGTAAAGTGGCTTGCGGGTCACAGCTCTTCCCCGCTGTCATAATGGGGATCTTGTCAATCGTTGTCCTTCTAGCGCTCTCAACCGCTAGCGATGGATGGGCCGAAGTAGCACACGATCAACACTCTTGCTTCCTTGAATATACAAGGAGACTCTAGGCCGATTGGCGGGTCCTTTGCCACATGTCCCAGCATGTTATATCAGTGGTTGAAACGGTGTGTTCAGATACAACAACGGCATCATTGCTCTTGGAAGTATTATCAAGATCATTGGTGAGCACAGGTCAGGCCACCGCGCTAAAATACCAAGCCACTCCCAACAGTGGTGAGCCGTGTGCGGTGCCTTAGCAATCCATACTGGGTCAAGCCGAAAGTATATTCACAGGGGAACTTATTGCAATTCGTTCGCAGCATGCAACTCACCGTTTGTCCATGCATACTTGGTTTGGTTCAAAAAGGATGGCGCTCGGCGGGAGGTCCCTCGAGTCAGGATCCATAGATTGACTGGGGGACTAGTACTAAACAAGGATGGGTAACGTGACATCCATCCATTCCAGGACAGGTTGGAATCGGGGTGTCCTCCGCATCACGGTATGTCCAAGCAATACTTTATTCTCCATGTTGAGTTCTAGTCTGACATTGATTTTGAGCACTCAGCCTGATCCTTACATTGAACTAATAAAGCAAACAAGCTGAGTGAATGCAACATCTCCGCCACATACTAATGCACGTACATATCACAAAGGAACAGTGTACATTGTTGTCTCCACCAGTAGGTCTCCTTCCATAAATGTATAAAGGTATCATTGTTGGCTCTTGTATTTGCTGGTGTCAAAAACAACCAGCCGGTTTGTTATGATGTATCCGGTCACATACCAATGAAAGTATGAGACTTACACCAGTAGTTCACGCAAGAAACTTGGTCTTAGCATCGGTATTAGTGGTCCACTAGTGGAATACCATCCAAGCCAATTTATCACCAACTAGTCCCCATAGTGTGGATGAACACAGTCATTCATTGGTCCAAAAGGGGTCTCTGGTGGCACTATACTTAGGTTAGTATGATGCGGTATACTGCAATGTTGGTTCCTTCACAATGGCAAACTAACATGTCTTGAGAATCCTGGTCTGGTAAGAGCACGCTGGTAAAAATACAGAGTGCTGTGCAGTTGTAGTTGCCGTAGACTCGATCGTGCAGACGGCCATGGTTACACCAGTCAAAGTTCCTTCAGCGAGATAACCAGTAGATATACTCTTGGTGTGGCAACAGTGGCCAGTTTCCAGTAGTGACAGTCAGCCCTCTGATCGAGTTTCTGGTCCCCGAAGATAATGCATTTAGTCAAACAGCTTGTCAAAAGACGAAGATGGACCTGGAAACTCCGGATTCTTGGTAGTGGCGGTCAATCGAGCACGCTTATGATATCCAAATGATATCCAAATGATATCCAAGAGATAGAAATTAGTCACCACTAATCTCATCTAGAACCTGAAATAAAATCTGATTTTGCACTCTGCATCCTTCGTCAGTTGTGAGGCCATTCGAGAAACCTGCCCAGAGCTTTTTCTGAATCTCTGCCATGTCCAAGCCACGTCTATTGTGTTGCTTGATCAGCTCTTCCGCAATCGCGCAGAGGGTCGTATTGAGAACATCATAACTAGTGGGTCGTGATCCCGCTGCTTCACCAGGAAGACAACCACATATGGACAGACGTTGGTCGGATATTTGTTGATCTGAAATCTCCTGAGGCTCGGTTCTTTTGGCGGGCCTTGCAGCGCCCTGGAGCACGTCTGTCTTTAATGAGCTTCCTAGCTCCACTATGTGTGGGACCTCGGCACCCGCCTGGCACCTAGGTAATGAAGGCGAACTCCCACAAGTGTTCCGTTGATTCTGCGTGGCCGGGGACTGTCTTAGAGCTGGAATGGCAACCTTCTGAGCCGTGTTTGGGTCCGCAAGTGCCTGAGCATATTCTGCAATAGTTTCGGTAGGAAACCCTAAGCGAGAAAAAAGACGTTTCAAGCCCCTATTTTCGGCTTCCAGCTTCTGAACAGCCAGTCTATGTTCAACATCTTTTTTATGGACTTGTTCTTGGAGAGCCACCAGCTTTTGCTCTAGGCCGCGGATGTGCTCCTGCTTCCTAGCACGGCTCTTGCGTTGGTTTTCTCGAACTCGAGCCAGCTTATCAATTTTCTAGCAACGGGGTCAGACAACTCAGTCACTGACTGGATGGTACTAGATCTCCGGGGCTTCAACCTTTTGATTGGTATTATCCATTACTTAGTTTATGCAGCTAGACTGTAATGTTGGGCTGAGTACCATGCTTTAGAGGAAAGGAAAAATTATAGTTTCTGGAGAGGACGGCAAGAACCAGATCGACACGTGACAGGGCAGCTTGGTCGCAGATTAGCTTTACTCCCCCCGACCGGGAACGGTAGTTAAAGTAAGATCTCCCTCGGCACATCATCTCAAAGACAGTTTGGCTGGGTTAAGGTGATGAACAATGAGCTATCACTGGGTCCAGTGGAGCAGCGCATCATAATAGTGGGATTTTTGCTGCAGCTTGCGGCGGGAACATCCCATTTCAAGTGGAGATGAAGGAGTCTAAATCCGGACAGGTCACAGCTGGTTGGAACCACTGTTCCCTCCGTTGAGTGCGTAATAAGATCCATACACTTGAAGGGAGATTGAATCGTGAGGAGTGGCGCCTTCGGTACAACGTCATTAGCCGTCAGTCGCTGCTTATTCATTCAAGAGCTAACAATTGTCGCACTCCTCTATCATCGCTCTCCCCGATTCCTCAGACGGTGTCTGTTTCACGCTTTCTAGGCTTGTATTGATCGCAATTTCACTGTTCGGGTGGGTGTCACTATCTAGTGTATCAATACACCATCATTCTCTTGCAGCTATGGTTTCTACGCGACACCATCCCCGCGACTTTCCGCCTCCATCAACGGGAAAGGCTTCCTCACCATCTCACAACGATGGCGCTACGAACCGATATGCACACGCCCCGTCGACTGCCATTATCATTTGGCTTGTCTTGTCAGTCCCGCTAGTTATCTGGGATGCAGGCTATGTATTGCTCCGGCCGCATAGCATGCCAGGCAACAAATTCCACTCCCCTATTTGGATTCCTTATGCGCAGTATGGAGCCATTGACTATCTCTACGGCTGGCCGGCGTTCAACGCTCGGAACGGGTTCCCAGCAGCACAGACGGTCTTGAACCTTGTGGAATGTGTCGGGTACATCTATTACCTCTGGATCGTGTATAGGCACGGAGTCTCCGCGTCGGGCGGTCGCGGGCAGCGCAAAGCCAAAAAGGGGCTTATTTGGATGCTGAGAACCGAGAAGGTGGTCTCTGGCCGAACTGGAGCCACTGCCCTTTTAGTCGCGTACAGCGCATCCCTGGCGACTCTCAGCAAGACTGTCCTCTACTGTGAGTTGTGAAAAGCAGAGCCCTTTATATTGGATTGCTGTGCCTTGCTTACAAGGATCCCAGGGCTGAACGAGGCTTTCTCTGGCTTTGATAACATTGGACATAACGATGCTGTAACTCTGATATTCCTGTGGATTATACCAAAGTAAGCTGCCTGGGTCATGATCTCACTTCGTTCGCTTACAGGTGGGCCAGCGGTCTTTGGATTGTTTTCCCTGGCTACAATATGTATACTTTGGGCGCAGAGATCGTGGCTTCCCTTGACAGCGCCGTGCCACGGCCGCGTGCTGGGCGCCCTAGGTCGTAGTAGGATCCGTTGCCGGAACGGCATTTATGCGGGGGACTGTTACATGGCATGCCACGCGTGGAACATGAACCGCAGCCGAACGAAGCATCTTGGGATGTGATAATTAATTCGATGAGTAATCTCGTATGGCGGTGACGTTTAATGTTAGATATGTATATTCTGATTGCTAATGTAATAGAAAGACTTTATGTCATGGGGGTCCGGGCGACGACCACGGTAATGTCAAGCTCACCCCTTAGTACACCGGTATATCTTCAAGAGTGGACTATCTCACCGAATGTGCTCGAAGGGTAGTGTAGAGTATTCACCTCGGACAGACGATAATGGACCGTAATGACACCACAAGGGGTTTTATACGCCATGTCGAAGAGAATGGGAAATGTCCCGGACCATGGGAAGAGTTCCTCCATGTAACCGCCTGAATTGTCAGGCGTCCATGTGTAGATAGTTGATGATAGATTCAAATAGGAACTAGCGGTAGTCATGACTCGTGACTCGAACACGGTGAGGATCCACAACCCACGCATCCGTTTTCATAGTTGGACTATTGGAAGTATAACCAAAAAAAAAGGGAGGCTAACTCACCAACCAAAGGTGATATACTCAGAGGATCCATTCTCCTGGGATCCGAATTCAAAGAATATTTGGTTCACCCAATGACCAGGATTGCATATAACGTGCAAGATGGCCCCCAGATGACGGGGTTAAGGCACCCATTGACTTAAATCCAGACTCGATGATTCCTTCGTGACTTTTTAGTTGCATGAACCTGCTACCAAGAGGAGTTTAGTCTGCAACTCTTTCTCCTCCACTTTTCGCGCTTCTTTCTACTTTGTACAGAGAAATAATCCCTCAACTCCCCGGCGACGCCCGTAGTGAACCCGAGTTGTTCTTCTTGACTCGGGGCCGTCGCCAAACCCATTAATAATCCCCCATCATGACGACGGCCAGCAATGCCAAGCCGCCACCGACCGGCCCTCATCAATCTTCCCCATACCCACCAGAAGCGACCGCCTCATCCCGCAATTTCGTCCCGTCCTTCTCCCGAGACCACGAGAATCCTTGGACCTCTCCCCAATCGACTATCTCCGGCCTACCGAACGATGACCCGCGCCTGGCTCTTGGGGTACCTGCACCCGTCATGATCCCGCCCGAGTCCGACGAGTCCCCCTTGGCCTCCTCCGCAGGCCTGACCTTGGGGCACGACGATATCGCCCTCCCCGACGATCTCGACACGCAGAGCCGGGCCAGTTCGCGCGACCCCGGGAGCGTCCAAACCGGGGGCGATATCGGCAATATTCTAGAAGCCGGGTACGACCATCTCCCCGAGGACGGGAACCAAGACTCCGCGCAGAATGGTGAGCAAAAGAACGATAAACCAGCGTGGAGCGAAATGAAGACAAAGGCTGGGAAGGAGCGAAAGCGCCTCCCCTTGGCGTGCATCGCGTGTAGGAGGAAAAAGATTCGATGTTCCGGCGAGAAGCCCGCGTGCAAACACTGCTCGCGCTCTCGCATTCCCTGCGTGTACAAAGTCACCACCCGGAAGGCAGCGCCGCGGACAGATTATATGGCAATGCTAGATAAACGGTTAAAGCGAATGGAAGATCGCGTCATTAAGACGATCCCGAAGGAAGAGACAAGGGATATGTCAGCCATCGGGCGATCAGTGGTCCGCCCTCCCCAGCCAGGGCAGACCTCGAAGAGCCAGAAGAAGCGGACAGCCGGCGAAGCTTTTGCGAATGAGATGGACGAGTGGGCTCGTGGAGAGCGCAAAGCTTCGCTGGATATCTTCCCAATGCGCCGGGAAAGTAAGATTAACGATAGCACTGGTTTGATGACTGAGGGAGCAGAATTTTTACCCTCGCTAGAGATTCAAGAACATCTCGCGGAAGTTTTCTTTGATTGTGTCTATGGGCAGTCTTACCTCCTGCTCCACAAACCTAGCTTCATGCGTCGATTAAAGGCCAGGACTGTGCCGCCAGCTTTGATCCTGGCAGTTTGCGCCGTATCGGCTCGATTTTCAACTCATCCACAGCTTAACTCCGAGCCGCCTTTTTTGCGCGGAGAGAATTGGGCCAATCCAGCTGCTGCAATAGCTTTAAGCCGCCACGACGCACCCAACATCACGATTCTGACTGTCTTCCTGCTGCTGGGTCTGCATGAGTTCGGAACTTGTCATGGTGGTCGAAGTTGGTCTTTCGGGGGCCAGGCGTTGCGGATGGCATACGCTCTGCAACTGCATAATGAACTTGAGGAGGACCCGCTATTGAGCCAGACCAATGGTGGCGGGTCCCAGCTCAGCTTTACAGATCGAGAGATTCGAAGACGGACTATGTGGGCTTGCTTCATGATGGACCGCTATAACTCGTCTGGAAGTCAACGTCCACCTATTGGAAACGAAAAGTTTATACAGATACAACTACCGATCAAAGAATCGCATTTTCAGATGGAAATCCCGGGTCCAACAGAGGATCTGGATGGAAATGTTCCCAATCCGGTTCCAGAAGACGTGGGCCAGCTGTCAAACGCGAAGGACAACATGGGAGTGTCTGCCTATATAATTCGCGCCATAGTATTATGGGGGCGTATCGTGGACTATCTAAACTTAGGAGGAAAGAAAAAAGATGCTCATCCACTGTGGTCACCCGAGTCGGGGTATACGCATCTCAAACGACAAATTGAGGAGTTTTCTGCCTCTCTTCCAAGCCATTTAGCATTTACTTATGAGAATCTCCAGATTCATGCGGCCGACAGGATCGCCAACCAGTTTCTCTTTCTGCACATAATCATTCATCAGAACATGCTATTCTTAAACCAGTTTGCCATTCCGTTATCACCGGGAGGGCGTCCCCCACGGGATATGCCCAAGGCTTTCTTGAGCAACGCTGGACGGGCCGCGGTAGAGGCGGCCCACCATATCTCTGTGCTGATCGATCGCGCTTCGGCATACCCTCTCACCGTTCCCTTTGCTGGTTATTGTGCATATTCAGCCAGCACCGTACACATCTGGGGTATCTTCTCCAAGAACTCCCAGCTGGAGGCTCGGTCAAAGGAAAACCTACGATATACCTATAGATATCTAAACAAGATGAAGAAATACTGGGGTATGTTCCATTATATGGTGGAAAGCGCTAAGGACCGATATCGGCAGTTTGCAGATGCTGCCATTAAAGGGTCGGTTGTCACCCAGAACGGCAGCCAGATCACCGCAATGTTTCAGTATGGTGACTGGTTCGACAAGTACCCTCATGGTGTGTCGAGGATGCATTGGGAGGACCCAAACACTCAACAGAAGAATAAAACCGACGACGCCGTGATGAGCCAGAAGGCCGACCTCCAAAGCGTTGAGGACTTCTTTGCCAGTCTCTCCCCTACGTCACAGCCCAGCGTGCCCGGTCGACAGCATTCCAAGAAGGACAGCCGAGGCGAAAGTCTGTCTGACATGGGCCAGCCAACCTCTCAACCGATAGTTGACATCAACACTCCCGGGATGATGGGCACGCCTGGAGCCGGGTTCCCGCAGTCCGGACTGTTCAACCAGGCTCGTGGGCAACTTTACGGCCAGTATCCATTCGACTTCCCCGTCCCAGCCGACCAACTACCCCAACTCGACCGACAGTTCGTCTACGGCTCCTTCGGCGGTCTCGATCCCTCCACCAACTTCATACCTCAAGACAATCCGCCCATCTCCACCGTAAACGGCGCCGAGCCCTCCCCAGCAGCCCCAGACAACTCTGCCATCTTCCCAGGCCAGCTAGATCCCAACGCTCCCGCCGGTCTAGGCGAGTACTACCAACCAAGCGCCTGGTTCCTCCCCTTCAACCTCGACCCCGTCAGCGCAGGCGTCAGCCTCGACCCCAGTCCCGCGCAAGTCCCCGGCAGCGGAACCCCAGACATGTCCAACTTTAACACGGGAAACATGCCCATGGGCACGTTTGACATGGGCATAGCGGGTGTGAATCGAGGCCCTCACGTGAACGAGTAACGCCGGCGCTTGATGTTAGATATCCCGGCGGATTTTTGTTTTTCATTGTTTTGGTTATCTTTCGGGATGCACTTGGCGAGTTTTTTGTTCGGCTTGTATGGGATGGTTTGGAAAAAGAGATGGTTGGAGTTTTGTTATGATCGCTTGATATCTGTACGGTGGTCTTATGTGTATATTTTTCCTGGGGTTTAGGGAATACTAATCTCTTCTGATGGTGTGGGTATCTTCTGTTGTTTTTATATTATATCTTGGGCTGGATCATGCCATGTGGTTCCGTCAGGTCCTAGGTAAGTATTTATCCTGTGCCAACTAGTAAAGAACATATCTGTACATCCCATATCTACAATAGGAAAAAAAAGAAGACCTCCCGCTATCTGTAAAACCCGAAACCTATATATATATATACCACAGGGGGACTGAGATCCAGGAAGACAAGCAAAAACAAAAAAAGAAGTGCATCATCCGTGAATCGAACACGGGCCTCATCGATGGCAACGATGAATTCTACCACTAGACCAATGATGCTAGTTGATATCATCTGCTTCAGATTTATGCTAAATATACCAAGGATTATGGCCCCCTTGTATATCAATACCACAGCCATCCCTGGACTCAAGGACTGGCCAGGATTGTATTAGACAACTTATTTTTGGTATAGGCTGCTATAATAGGGAAGCGGCATGGTATTGGTACTGAGGAGGGTCTGTTGTACATACAGGTTGCCAGGTTCATAAATAGCTGTCTTTCCACGATAGTATATCTTTTACGTTGTACTCCGTACGTATCTTGATTTTGCATACTTCGTATATCAGGATCGACAGAATAACTCAATATGAAACCTGGTCGGCAGACGGAATGCTAAAGCGAATATCATATCCGTGTTTGGAAGCGAAGGAATTCATAGCGCCAATGACTCGTATTCATAACAGTCGAGGGAAATCTTACACAAACATGTAATACAGTGAAATCTCACATGACAATCATATAACGAACAGATACAGCCGAAAGCAAAGCAAAGGAAACAGGGAGGATCATGATATGTTAATCCTCCCATTCTTCGTCCAGTTGATCTATCAGTCGATTTTCGGCATCGACATCTCTTCCAGA